CCGGGCCTGCCGGGGTCAGAGTTGCCCCCTGGGCCGAGGCCCACCCTCAGCCTCTCGGACACGTGGCCGAAGGAGCCCTTAGCCCGGGCTTCGCGGTGCGCGTCCGCGCTGGGGAGGCCGGGGGTCGTCCTTCCCCCTCAGCCAGGGCACGCCTGTGCCGGCGTGTCCTTGTGGGGCGAGGGTGCTTGTAGGGCCTGAGGGGAAGCACGACGGTGTGAGTCCCTTCAGTTCTGTCAGCTTCCCTGGTAAAGTGTAGAAAGACATGCCAAGTGTAGGTATTTTAGGACCAATGAATTGAGAGAAGTCCTCCTAAATCATCAAATCCAGCCATTACATCTAACTTGTGCTTTTGGTATCTTTATCTGGACTCAGCTGGAATGTAAGTGCTTTTTGTCCCTCCTGGTCTGGCTGGAGTCACACGTACAACTTCTGTACAACCCTCCCAGGTCAGGAACATCTTGAGTTGTAGCTTTGGCTGACGCTAGTCCTTGTGTCAGCATTGCCATTTAATCTAAATGAATTGTTCTGTGAACATGTCGCTCTAAACATCCTTTCTCTTGTGAACTCTAGGATGGGACCCCATTGAAGATTTAAGACACCTACCAGTCAGTAGGGATGTAGGTTTTCATCCAGTGGCTTAAATGTGTTTAGTGTAAGTTGACATGTGCTAGGGTGTTTGAGAAGCAAGCAGGACTGGCAGGTACGATATGATGAACAGGTGATTCATGCTTTTTTGGAGTGCAGTTGGGCAGCAGGGTGGAGAAGCTGAAGTACCTCATGGCTTTAGATGCGTTTAGGACACTGAGTCAAGCTCAGTTCTCATGTAGTCAGTGGAGCAGAAGAGCTGTCTTTTTTTCTTAAATCCACGTGAACTTTTCAGCCTTTTACTTGTTTGTCCTCTGTTTTGGAGGCTACTGTCTAATTTTTTTTCTTTTCATCCTTAATATTTATTCCTAGCTCATTTTTAGACAGCAGCCTTAATCAAGCTATTCAGTTTTTTGTATCTTCATTCCATTTTGAATAGATATCTGAATAGGTACAGTGGAGAGGTGGGCAGACCTATCCAAAGCTGATCTGATAAAATGGGCCAAGGCTATTTGGATGACTGTCTGTATGGGAAATAATTTGCTTGATACATATGATTATGCACTTGTTTTTTCCATAGCTGCATTACTTTGATTTCTCATACTTACTGTGTGATTGACTTGTTTATTTTTCAAGTTGCTTCAGACTTACAGTTTCTTGATATCTTACTGTAGTCCTTGTTAGGTGTGATATGATTACTTACAAATATGTGTAATTTGAAGTACTGAATTTCATTATACTGGCATTGCTTCTGTTATCGGTGTTATCCTTTTTTTCCTCATTAATTCCACTTGTTTTTCTATTGATGATTCTACAATCCCAATTTTTACTTCAGAAAACACTGAAGGCAAAGTGTAAAAATAAAAGGAAAAAATCTTTCCTTAAATGTATTTATGGAAGTACTTAATAGAGATTGGTTCCAAAACGAACTCTGTTATAGAGTATTTCCATAAATACATTTGTATTTATGAACCTCCTTGTAGCCCAATAGCTCCCCTGTCAGTGCAACCCAATATTGCTTTTTTCTTCAGAACGGTTTGTTTTCCATTTCCCATGCTATTTCTGATCTCCTTCTGCTAACCTAATCTTTTCTCATGTGGCATTGTACTTATGCCCAGCATAACATATTTGGCTGTAAATACTTATATTTAAATGTGTTTGGAGTGCTTTGTTTATTATCTTTGTCTTGATAACTTACAGATATTTCTATCTGCTGATGAGATATCTTTATTGCGCTACCTAAGTTTCCAAACTTTCTTTTTGGCTGGTAAGTTATGTTACATTTGACAAAGTCAGAATCCAGCTCTTGAGGTTACTTCATTTCTCTCTCTGCATGTTGTTCTTATCACTGAAGACAAATGTACCATCTTTCCAGCAGTTTTAGAAGCTGCAGACAAAGTAGTATCTTTGACTGAGGTGTTTTTCCATATTCTGTCACTAAAATCCAGCCTTCCCAGTGTTTGGGCAATCAAGACCCTCAGTCTTCCTTGACTAGTCCTTGTCTAAAAGGTAGACTGTAATTAATATTATGGCTTTATCTAACTGATTTGGGCTCCTATTATTTTTAAGGAGTATTTCCAGTCTTTACCATCAGCTGGATTTTCTTCGTATGCCTCTGCTGCTTTTAGGTTGGGGTAGGTGTTCCTGTTAACATCTGAAGAGCTATTATTTTGTCATCCTCATCTTTCCTTCTGCCCTACCTCTTCTCTGTTACTTATAAATCCTAGTTTATTGGCTGTCCAGGGAGGTGATGATCTGTGACTAATCTACTTCCCTCATTTTATTCCCTCGCTACTTTTAAATGTATATAAAACCAGAACTAAATATGTATTTCTCCAGTTAACTAAACTATGACAATTCTTTGTTACATTGCTTTGCTCATACCCGGTATGCCTTTCCCTTTTTATTTGATTTTTTTGGATTCTGTCTGGTGTGAAAATGTCTGTATAATGCCTTACGTAGTAAAGTTTGATTTTGATGAAGTCTTTTAAGTCTATTATAATTACACCATTATCCTGAGCTACAATGTCTGTTTAGATTTTATGTCAGTTCCTGTTCATTTTCCTCCTTTATGTATATGACAGTAAATGATAATTAAAACATTTTATTTTCCAGATCACTTTATTTCTTGTCTCTGCACCTCAAATGGGACATGCATGTTTAGGGGACTAACTACAGTAACATCAAAATGCCTAATCTCGAACATCCAGCGTACCCAGCCGCTACACTGCTTCACTTGGAAAGTTTGGTGCCTTGTCGAGAATCCCAGGTGTCCATGTTGTTGTCAATATTTGGAGAGGTAGTGCTTTTTATATTGTACATTTGAATAGAACAAAGACATTCTGCTGTCTCAAAGGGGAGAGCAGAAATTTAAGGGCATTTTCGTGATGTCATTATGAACATACTTTGGTTGTCTCTTTGTTGTTTGTTTTTTGTTACCTATCTTTAACATTAGTGTTTGGCAGATAGATTCTAGTAAGATTGAAGGTTGAAAGCTGTTCTGCAGCTGGAAGGACCCAAACAAACTTACAGCTATTTGTGCCTTGCTGTCTCTGAAGCCTGATTTCTCCATGACTCTGTTCCATCTTTGCCAGTTAGTACCAGGAAGTGAGTCTGTCTTCTTCCCTGGTCTAAAGTTCTGGGGTATTTTTTTTTTCTATGGCAGTGTAGAAATTCTGTTTAGTTTTGACCTGTTAATATCTGTGTGCCTGAATTCTAAGTACATGAAACTGGTCTGATTCTTAGTAGTTCTGTTGCTGGCCATAAGATTTGGAAATCACTGGCTTGTTAATTGATTCTGTTACTGCTTGGGAAAGCTGTAGTAAAAGGTAATGGAGATTTTTATCTGCAAACTTAAAAGCAGTTGATGTATTCCTTTACATTCAGTTAACAAAATGGAAATTAGTATCTGTTTCTGGTTCTGCCTTTAATTATAGATAATAATAATTACATCAAATTACAGCATTTAAGTTTTCTGTATTTATTACAAGCATAGTGGCAACAAGTCTTCTTAAAAAAAAAGATACTTAAATTCTTGTTAAATATGCAGGTTAGAGTATCCTCATATCTTGCACAAGAGTGCCTTCATCTTGGATTAATTGAATATTACTAGTTTTCATAAAAAGTGTTTGTCAAATTTATTTTTGTATTCGTTTTTTAAGTCAGTGTACAAGATTCTTAGAAATGAGAAAAACACAAAAATAAATACCTGTTCAGAATGAAATAAAAAGAACAAGTTATTATTTTCCTTGCATCTTAAAAAAAAAAATAATCCATGAGATATACAGCATCAGTACCATTAAATACATAGAGGTATTATATCAAATACTGCCTTGTGAGAGAAGAGCGAGCTTCTTTACCATCTCCTCCACCAAACCATTTACTACTTTTCCGTTTGAAGCTAATGGAAAGAAGAGCAGTTTGCAGTGTCTGCAGAAGTTAGAACAACGTAAAGCTTGCCATTTGTGCTTGCCAAGATTTTGTTTCAGTTAGTTAACTAATTTGAATTAAGAGCCCATTGCTTTTCTCTCTTTGTGGGTGTTTTTGTTGTTTGGTTGGTTTGGGGTTTTTTGTTTGGTTTGTTTTTCCCATGAAAAATGTATCCTCATGTTATAGCAGTTTCACTGGTGGCTTTATGTGATACTTGATTCTTGGGACTTATCCTCCCAGCATTTCAGTGAAGATGAAACATAAAACTTGGTCACGTTGATTCCATAATAATTGGCATATTTTATATTTAATGCCTCAATTTAAAAGATAACTTTTCCTTTGGAGGGGAACTTCATTGATAAATCTTTTATCTGTTGAATGAAAAAGAAGAAGAATTGAAACAGCAATAACTTTTTTTCCCCCCTCCCTAGCGTCAGCAGTTTAGTTTTCCATCCATCTTTATCTATGGACATACATCTAGTGGAAAGACTTATGTGATGCAAACTCTTCTAAACACCTTACAGGTAAGAATGTTCACAATGGATATTGAATTCAGAATTTATTTGTAACAGATGGTCCCTCAAACTCGCTTCTACTTTCTCAAAATGGTTTGTTCCCTCAGCCATTTCTGCCTTCTTGATTCTTCTCCTCCACTTACTGTGTGATGAACACATCGCTCTTCTCACTAGCACACTTAGGATAAAATGAAGTTGTACATACTGAGATATAATATAAATCATAATAACTTTTCTAAGAAAGTTTAAAAAAAGAAAAAAGGAGGCAAATTTTGTTCAGCTTGTTCCCTTCCCTTAACTTGAAATAACTCTAGTGACAAGTACTCCTATGATAATTCCAGTTCAATCTGAGAGTCGCTTATACTATACCTTTTTTGAATCTTCCTGTAATTCTCCTTTAAACTAATTTTACTTGTATTTGAAAAGAGTGAGAGAGTATATGAAGAACAGTGAGAAGAATTTGCAGTAGTGGAATTTTGTTTTGTTTTGTGTTAACAAACTAATTTTAATTAAATTCAGTTGGATGTGTATGATCTATTTAAATGTCAGCCTAAAAGCTTTAACTTATTAAAATTGTTAAAAGCATTCATAGCAAACATACAAGCTATACATGTTTGCTGAAAAAAAAAAAGTGAGTCTGAAATGGTGAAAATCACTGGCTGAATACCAGGCAACTGCCATTCTTTGATACTGATAGTTGTTTTTACAGACTCGAGGTGAATGTTGTATTTGTTGAGTAAATTTGGTTAGTTCCAATCAGCCCTCTTATAGAAGCAGGAAAATCTGAAACTTTGAAAAAGAAACAATGCAGGAGTTCTAAAATGTTGGAGCAATGTTGCATAGGAACAATTGATTTAATTCCTGAACAATAAATGATTATTCTTTTGCTTAATCAATCAGCTCTAAATGGGAAAAGTGTACTGATAGCCCTTTTTAGTATTATATTTTCAGAGCCTATTTGAAAATATGAATTTTGTGCACTTTAATTCATTCTAGATCCTCCAAACACAGCTTGATACGCATCGTAAGTTAAAAACCCTACGAGACAGGATGCCATTCACAGTTTCTAATGTAATAATAAAATCAATTCTCCAGGTGTGTGTGTGTTTACTAAGCTCGGCATTGCCAGGTCTTTTGCTGGTGGGATGGCTCTTATTCTCCCATGCCAGTACTGTTGCTGTTTCCTCCTCTATGAGCATCACTTTCAGAAATGTTAGGGCTGTATGTTCTTTTTCAGCTTCGCCATCTAACATAAACTTCCTTTGGATTCCTGCTCTTAGGAAACAGTGTAGGAGTAAGTAGGAAGTAGATCAAGGAGGACTGATAAGACAGGTGGTGTTGGAATATGTGAAGTGGAAACTACTGAGAATTCATTGTACAATTTTGAATTTGGAGCCTTACATTCCTAGGAAGCTGGGACTACAAACTTTATTCCCCTCAGTTGTTAAGGAAGAAAACTACTTCAATGCTGTCCACTGGGGGATGAGTTGTAGCCTTGATGATTAATACTGGAGCTGCTGTATGTTACTAACCTGAAGTAGGAACTTTGTCATGAATGGACTTAATTCAATTGCAAGGGCTGCAGGCAGAAAAACCTACTCTTTAAACGCCATGTGAGAATCTGAACTACATAAAAGTAGTGGGTCATTGTGGCTGAATGCATATTTCTTACAAAAATAGTTATCTTGAAGAATGATGTAGAGAGGTATGGCCTTAAGTCCATTTCAGTCACTCTCTGGTAAGTGCTGGCAGAAGACTTTTAAGCGCTAGGTTCTTGCCACTTTTGTGGCCCTTCTTTTTCTGTTAGCAAATATGTATATTCATGCTAGTTTTATTCCTTGTTCTAATTTTTCCCAAAATGTGTTTTAAAGTCTTCCTAAGTTGAAGGGTGTAATCACAGAAATTTCCATCTAAACCTGTTAATGCCTATGTTTTTATCAGTCACGTACTTCAGGGATTTGAATCCAATGACAGGTGCCTACTTCATGCCTAAACCATAAATTTCCACTTCTGTGTTCTCATAGCCCTGATACTTTCGGCTTGTCCAGAGTGCACTTATCACATATCTGCAGGACTGGGTTTTATGCAAAAATCCCCTTCGTTAAAGATTCTGAAGAGGGAGAAAGGTGGAAGACAGTGGTCATGATCCTCTTTCATGCAGTAGCCGTTTGTGCAATGCTTCTAACACTGTGCTACCCACTTGCAACATATCCAAAGATGTGGCCAGACCCTGGAAAGGAGTAGGATTTAAGCAGCAACTGTTTCTACAGAACTTCCTGTTGCCCAGTATAGCTGTCTCCTACATGATGTGGTGTTGTGAATCACATCTGAGGCACCCAGTTTTCCTTCTGCTATGGAGGTGCAGCACTTTGAATAGGTGCTTTTGGAGATGTAGCCCCTTTCAAAATCATAAGAAAGCTTTTTATTATGTGGATTGCCAGCATATACCCACACTTCCCACATCTGCTGAATCATGTGCCATATATTGTATTTTAAGTAGAAAGACTGGAATGAAGTACTTAGATTTTTTTGTTGTTGTTATAGACACACACATTCCTGTATCAGAAGTTTAATTTTGCAAGTAATGCATATGTATCCCAATGACTACTGTTTTCCAGAGGTTTTAATGTTCACTGTAAAAAAGAGCATATGCCTTACCAGAGAGTATGGAGGTATGCAAATAATCTATTTCTTAAAAATAAAGTTGCTAGAAAACTACCTTTTTTGCCTTATGTAGGTTTGAATACTGGTACTATTTTGTAGTCTATAGTGTCTTCTATTTATAGACAAATGACCATAACTTTTCAGTATTACTAAATTGGTACTTACAAGTACATTTTATGGATTGCCATAAAATGTATCTCATGCTCTGCTTTTTTCGCATGCTCTTTGCTCTGAAAAGATCTGGTTTTCTAAAGAACGTTCAGCGCAAGCAGGCTGATTACATGTGTCTGATATAGAAGCTTACACTTTATCATTTGTATGCAGCAAATGCAAAAAACATTCAGAGTGATTTTGGGGAGTGTGCTCCGGGATTACTTTCTTTGTAATATAAGTTTGAGAAGTTCATGTTATCTAGACACTGTAATTTGTAATGGACTATTTTATAATACTGTAATGTGTTAATGATTGCCTAACTTTTTTTTAACTAAATGCTATTTGGTTTTCTTTTTATGTATTGCTCACAATTTTTAAACATGGAAGATACACTGTGTGTTTCGTATGAGGATTCATCAGATCTCTTCGCTTTGTGATATATTTTGACTAAGTACATAAGTAATCATTCTTTTTTGGCAAGGTTTTTTGGTTTATGCTCTATATTCTATATTGCTCTATATTGGCAAGGTGTGGTTTCTTTCATTGTCTCATCTGGAAGAGAAAACTGATTCTGGAGTATTTACACTGAAAAAGCCAAATAAAGTTGTATCTTTTTTTTTATCCTCTTCAGCTTCCTCATGTGTTTGTGAACTGCGTGGAATACTTTACTTCACGACTTCTTTTAGAAGAAATTCTCATCCAGTTGCAAAGCTATTCTGAGACAGAACAGAATTCTCACGTGCCTTGTGATACTTTCAATGACTTTGTACGTCTGTTTAAACAAGCTGTTGCGAGTCGAGAGCTTGAAGATCAAACATTATACATTGTAAGTAATTTAATGTTTCAGTCTCATTTCTGTTAAGAGGGTGTGAATAATTGTTATCGATAATTTATATGTGAAATGTGTGCGTTATAGAGCAGTTTTCACAAAATTTCTCTGTGGACCTCAGTCAGAATCTGTTGATAGTGGTTAGATTCTTTCAGTTGGTTTATTGGCTTTAGATGAGGTTCTGTATTTTTCCTGATTTTAGAACTTTTTCTACACAAAAACTGTATAGCATAACTAATAACATAAATTATACTGCATATTTAAATTGGGTATGTAATAGTATTACAAAATCCTTAAATATAGAGAGCCTGTATTTGTTTTATAGTTAGTAAGTCATGATTATCTGTTTCCTTGTGAAGATAGCCTCACAAATGAGAAAGCAAAGGTGGGAAGCAGGGCAGAAGCGAGTTATGGAGCACGCAAATGACAAGAATTGGTTGGCTAGAATAGGTTCAGGTTAGAAGTTGTATTAAGGAGCTAAAATGCATAATTTCCTCTGTAAAAGTGCTGTTGAGATCTTACATCTTCAACTACACTTGTGGCCCTCAGAGACAAGAACTGTAGTTTTAAAATTAAGATGGAAAAAAAGACTGCAATGAAAAATTTGATGATACACTCAAGTGGAATAAACAGGCAGACCACAGGAAAAATAATCAGAATTTAGATCCCAGAAATGATTGAATCAATGTAGTACTAGAACACTAGGGTTTGGTTGTTTTGTTTTTTTTTTTCCCCTGTGATAATCTTAACTGCATAAAGAGTCAAAATTTGCAGGCATCTGTAACAGCATTTATCGTGCCGAGAGATGAACATAGAAACAAATTTCAGGCATACAAGAGGTCTGAAGAAAGACTCCTCAAAACTACTTTTTTTCCTAGCTCTCATTTGGTTGAACAAAATCTATTATCTTAAAAATATGAAAGCCATAGTATTATTGATGTGTAACTATATATGCATTGTGGACTACAAAAGATGTGGACTGAAATTTCAGCGCAGCAGTAGGAATTAAGGATTTTTTTAAAAGAGGTGAAATTGACTATTTAAGGAAACATGGAAATGGTTCAAGATTGAAAGCTTAATGACCCTCTGCATGTTTCTCATAGCAATCAGTGGGCATACTGCTTTGGTTTTTTTGCAGTCAAACAAGAAATTAACAATTACACTGAACAGTCTTCATTCTGTTTCACAGGTTATAGTTAAATAAGTTTTATTTCTATTTAAAAATACTTAACTGCTGAGCTAAATAACTTCATAGTACGTTTAGTGGAAACAGTACTATCTCATAGTTTCCTGCAGCTCATGAGGTTAATAAATTTGACATGCTTAAAAATTGAATGAAGAAAAATGCACTGGTACTTACAATAGATAAGAAGTTATATATAGATAATTCATTTTAATTTACCAGCACAAAAGTGGCAATGGCATCCTTCAACAATTCCGTAAGAACAAAATTTAGCACTAAAATAACCTTTAGGGAATTTCACAAAATACTTTATACAGTGAAATTTTACTTTCAGATTAATATTTGGATTAAAAACCTGTTCTACATCAGTAAAGAATGCTTCATGTGTTATATGACAACTAGTATCAGAAAATTAGAAAGTTCTTGAAAAACAGTTATAGAAAGCAAACCATTAAATATCTAGAAAGGTTCAATTCTATCGCGTAAATAGTTGCTGAATCAGAAGAATTAAGTATTAAATTAGTATTTCAGTTCTGTTCTGCGTGGGAACAGACAGGAATGGGGGATATCAATTCATGTATATTAACCTGTGTCGTCTGGATTTATTGTAGAATGGTTTAAATTGAGACTGATGGAAGACCAGCATGCTGGTAGCATAAACTGGCAATGCTAATTTATTCTATTTCATTTTGGTGGTAAATAATGTAATATTTCAGCCCAATTAACTCATAGCAAATTAAGATAAATGTTTACTTTCAAGCAAAGGAGTCTAAATGTTTCTCTTAACCCAAGCATGGGAGCTGAATGCTTGTGATTACTTATGAAAAATGAATTTATTCATTTTAACTGCCTGAAAAATTGAAGCAGATACAACTTGTAGTCATTTGTACATTTACAATATTTAGCACTTACAGAAGTAACAAGCTGCTGTTTTTAATGTAAGTCAGCAGACAGTTCTAAAATGTATGTTTTTTTAAAAAAGCTGAAGTGTGACAGATCTATATTAAAACTAAAGAATAAGGGGTGGTTTTATAGGCCTGTGGGTAGGCTGTTTCTGTGAATCACTTGACATATTCCACAAGCTAGGGTCACAGTATATTTTATCTGCTGTAAGTAGAAACTCTAGTTTGTTTCCCACTTAACTAGAAAGTAAGATCCACTTAGGTCAAAACCTTAAAGCTTTGTGTTCGGTAGCTGCATGTCACTGGGTCCAATAAGCAGTATTTTATTAGTAAAAATATGTAGCCTCTGTGTGGTCAGTAACGTAAAGCGGTCTTCACTCCTGAAATTGTTTATTATATGAACCGAATGCAGATGTCAATATAAAATCATATGGTGTATTGTAGTTTTAAATAAATTCCCAAGAAGTGTGAGCTATTATTGCAGAGATACTGCTCTTTCATTATTTTTTTTTTTCCTGTACGGTGTGATTTTGAAATACCGTTTTCATAAAATGTTCCTTGGTTGTCCACATAAAATTCTCTTTCTTACTGTGGACAACAGAAATGATAGATGTCTTCATATTTTGGTGTGGGGAGGAAATGTAAAAGAACAGAAAAATACAATTTTCTAGGGACCTGTAGTTTCTCTTTCAACAGCAGTAATTCAAAAGAAGTAATGAACTTCAGAATTTAGATTTATATTGTGAGTAATAAATAGAACACAAAAGAAATGTGTTTCTATTCTCTTTTTTCATTCGTGTTAAGATTTTAAGTGTCCTGGGAATATGAATTTTTTTTGTCAAAGGATAACCATGCATGTTTTCATGCTCCTTATTTTTTTTCTCTAGGCTCCAAAATGGTAGTTGTTTAGATAAAGTGTTTCCTGTTTAAGCAGTACATATGCTACGTATCTGTTACTGCTATGTGAGGTTTGAATACAATACAATAAATCCTGTAAATTTCTAGGCTGTGCATTATGGCAAGAAAAGTTTCTTTCAAAATTCAGTTGTGTGAATTCCAGATGACAGCTAACTTTTTGAAAATACCAGCTCTTACTTGGTTCTGAAAAATAATTTCATAGTGGGAAAAGATAGCTCTCCTACAGTAGGCGTGTTGATATAGTGCTACAGTACTACACATAATTTTTAAATACAAGAATAATTTTGGACAAAAATTGAGGTTTCAGTGGTTGTTAATGATATCATGGCTCTGTTAGTGATATTCTTGACTAGTATACTTATGTTTTAATTCTTACTGCCATAAGGCATGAGAATGTTGCTTGCCTGGGGATTGTATCTTTTTTTAGATGGCAGAGCTGCTTGGGCTTCCTGGAAGCACACCTGAAGCAATAATCTCTCTGATGTTGCTTGTTTAAGGAGTCTTGATACTTAGGTGGTTTCTGCTGTCTAAGAGCCATTGGTGAAATGAGTTTCCAGCATCTAAGAATTAATTTTAAGTCCATGTGAGAATGGAAGTTGACATTGTTTATGTAATAAGATCATTGTTTTGTTAAAAGGTACTGGATAGAGCAGAGCAGCTGAGGGAAATGGAAGTAAACATCCTGCCAGGGTTTCTTAGGCTTCAAGAGTTGGTAAGTGTGTGGGGAAAAAAAATAATGTCCTGCATATTGAAAGTAACTGAACATGTGGTATCTTATCTGTCTGTCTAGGCTCACAGATCAAGATGAGTGATTCTTTAGATGGGAAAAGTTGCAAAATTAATCCTCCCCCGCCCCCCAATAATCAACTGGCAGTCGTCAAAACTAGAAACCAAACCAGAATTTAAACATTGGCAGGTTTTTCTTACATTCTTTTTTTTTTTTTAAATTCTGTTTAATAGTATCTTGTTTTATGAGATCTGATCTGTTGTAGATTCTTTGGAGGCTGGTGTCAGATACATAGATGTCTTTTCTAGAATATTCTTGTTTTTAAGAAGAATGTGAAATTTTTCTACTCTTCATTTAAAGTTTTGTAATAATTGCAGAAAAAAAAATCTCAGGCAGACTATATGAGGAGAAGCTTCAACATAGCTCAACATAGCTTGGTACAAATAAATAAATAAAACCCCTTTTAGTCGGATGTTTGTGTTGGAATCCAAAGTCTGCTGCTGAGTCAGCTGCTGATGCAAGAGAGCCCAACCACATTGAGTGAATTCGGCATCAGAAGCGTGAATTTGCAACTCAGGAAACATTTGCTTTCCTCAACTTTCTCCCATGTGAAACTTCAGAACATTGCATGGTGGCTGGCTTGAGGATGGTCAGTAGACCACCAGCTATTTAATTGTGACTGGAGCTGCACAGCTTGGCAGCTGCAAATGTGCTTTATGATGGCAGAGAGTTTTTACACTTCTACTGGAATTGTGCTACAGTATGTTTCTGATTGGAGTAAACCACTGTATCTTTTCCCCTCTCACTTCTGAAGTATCAAAGCTTATGCCTTGGAATAAGGAAGAATGGTGTATTCTCTGAAAAGGAACTGAAGACAAAACCAGAAGATGGTGGTACTTTGAACTGTCTGAACATCTAAATAGCTGAAGTTATACTTGTTATCTCAAGACTTCTGTGTGGTACTCTTAATCTTCTGGTGACATTGATTTCTCTATTTACTGAATGAAGACTGATTCACAGCTGTGTTCTTAATCCTGACAGCTGGTGCATTTTCTGGCTCTTTTTGTCTGTTCTGCCCATGTTCTGGATTTTGCTGCCCCTGAAACAGAAACAACCTGTCTGACGGAGAGAAAGGAGGAAAACTTAAGTTTATGATTGCTGTTCAGGGACCAAAAAAAAAACCACCATAGGCCTCTTAGACTTAAATATGCTAGAGAAACACCCTCAAATTCAAAAGTAACTTCCTAATAAGTCTGTCAGCTTTCCTGAATGCTGAGATTCCAGTTGCTTAAAATCTGGATTCTGAACTGAGGCTTTGTAAAACTGTTGTGCAGCTGATGTTGCACAGGAATGTTGTAGGAACAAATCTACTGCATCACTTCCATTCCTGGAGTGAAAGGAGATAAGAAACTTCATTGGGGTGAAAGATTTCATGGGACTGGGGGATCGTTGGTGAAGAATGGGTCATAGGATGCTTGATTTCTGTGAGGGTTATGGTGGGAACTAAAGTTTTTCATATTGGAAGGTCTGTCAGGAATTGAACTGAAAATACCTTAGTACTTTTCTCAGCAAATACTAGGAAATCTGGGAGATGAACACAGTGGAAAGAAATCTACAGAAAGATGCTTTCTCATTAAAAGAAAAAAAAAGTTCCGTAAAAATAGAGAAAGAAGAAACAGTAGAGAATATGGGTGGGTGCCACTTTGGCAAGAAGTGGGAAGAGTAAATAAAAGAAGATTCTCCCTGAATTTCAGGGAAGGGGAATGGCATTTAAACTTTTCTTTCAAGTCGTTCACAGCTCATATTAAGCATTGTCAATTCAATCAGGTTACTTCCTTTTATTTTCTTGAGGTAGTTTTGAAATGTCTTTCTTGAAGAACCATACTTAAAAGCATCTTTTGTTATGCAGAATTTTTAGTATGATTGCAAAAACCTTGCAAAAAGGAAGATTGAAGCATCATCTTCACAGGTAGTCAGCTTCATATTAAAAAGCTGATATATAGAAGGCTGACCAAAATAAGGAAATTTTTTTTTTTAATATGAAGTGTTTTGTTATCTATTGACCAAAACATCAAACTCAAGGCAAGTATATTGTCAATAAAAACTTGGTTAAAAAGAATATGTTACTATGTACAGCCATTGTTGGTAACTAGTAAAACAGTCGGTAGAGTACACAGTAATACTATGTTTTTGTTTGGGATGGTTTTTGTTTGTTTTTAAAGACCAGCTTACCTTTAAAATAAAGTACTAGATAGCTTGGTTTCAGAAAGCACTGGGCTTTCTCTTGCTTTTTCACTCTTCCTGTTTGTTCTGAAAGTCTGAGTTTAATTACCAAAGTAAAATGCTGTTTTAATTTCGGGAATAAGGGATGGAATCTACTTGGTATTGTCTAGTACCAGAGCTCTATCACCCCAACAAGCTTACATGTCAGTGAAATGGCAAGGGATGCAGAGAAATCTCATGTAATTATGAAAATCTGCAAATGTATGAGCTTCTTGATTAGGCCAGCTGAAGCTTTATTACTATGCTAGTAATTTGTATTAAACTGTAAATCTGATGATTTTTGTAGAACATAAAAGTCACAATAATTTTTCTCACTGATATTGTAACATGCGGTGTTATTTTTTTCTTTCTCTGCTTATCTGTCACTCCCCCCCTCCCCCCCCGCCTCGCCTTCCCTGTGTAGACTGACAGAAATGTGACAGTTGTCCTGCTCAGTGAAATAGTATGGGAACTGTTCCGTCCAAGTACTGGATGCTTTGAGCCCTTCACCTTGTATTTTCCCGATTACAGCATAGGTAAACTAATTCTTTAATCTGCTTTCTGGGGATTGAATAATACTTTGTCAAACAACATCCAAATGTTTTTTCCATGTTTATCAGTATGCCTTTTACAGAATCTGGAATATGTAATAGCTACTAGAATGTAAAAGTCTATATTCCCACAATGTCTAAAAGTCTTGTCTTTTTCCACTTGCCAGAACATCTCAAAGTAACATTTTGGTTCCATTATATTTGCTAGTTCTTTTAATCAGTAGTAGTTTTTGGTGGATTTGGGGTTTTTTAGTAATGATTATAGTTTGTTTTTCCACTTAACTTGCAAAACGTGGTCACTTTATTAAGTTAGCTTTAAATAAGCAAAACTTATTTTTGTTTAAACAGGACACCTGCAGAAGATCTTGTCTCAGAATTACCCCCCAGAATATTCTGCGGATTTCTATGCTGCATATATCAATATTCTGCTTGGTGTCTTCTACATGGTCTGTAGGGACCTGAAAGAACTTCAGCATCTGGTGAGATGAACTCCTTTAGAGTTGTTTCATTATGGGGTGTTTTTTGCCAAGTAAGCTCGGAAAGTCTAGATTTATTGTTGAATATGGACAAAGAGAAAGTCATAGGAGCTTAGAATAGTTTGGGTTGGAAGGGACCTTTAAAGGTCATCTAGTCCAACCCCCCTGCAATGAGCAGGGACATCTTCAACTAGATCAGGTTGCTCAGAGCCTCGTCCAACCTGACCTTGAATGTTTCCAGGAATGGGGCATCCACCACCTCTCTGGGCAACCTGTGCCAGTGTCTCACCACCCTCAGCATAAAAAATTTCTTCCTTATAGCTAGTCCGAATCTACCCTCTTAATAATGTGTTAGCTCAAAATGCAGTTTCCCTAAAAATCCATAACAAAGGTTGCAACTGTTTTGGTGGCTGTAAAGGGTTTCCATTGCTATGTAGTTTTCTGGTCAGAGGCAACAAAAGCTGCACTAATGAGATGCCAGTCTGCATGTGGTTCACCCGGCCTAGAACTTCTGTTGGGGTTTTTGAGCTCAAGCTGATCCTCGATATCAGAGAGTGACCGAGAAGACTAGGCTACCTTTTTTCACCTGTTGGGATAAGGAGATAAATGTGATGAAACCTTTTATGCCTGCTGATAAGTATAGTAGAAGCAATTGCTGCAACTGCAGCAGTTTTTGAGGGACAACTCTGTTACAGACTTGGTTAATGATTTTTTTTGTTTTTTGTTTGCAATTCAGTCAGAGGAAGTAATAGTTACGATTTTACTCTTTCAAGCAATGGTAGGCCTCACTGTGCTTCTTTTCTCTTCAAGTTCTTTTTACATGTTGTTATATGGCTTTGCTCTTATTGCTACCTTCTTGCTCGCGTGGACTTCTGTAATCCGTAAATAGCCTTCTGTTGTATTCGTTTCCCGGACTATGCAGTCCAGCCAGACAGTTGCTTTCAACATTTGAAGAAATAACTGCATTTACACGGTCTCAGCATGTCCAGCCTCAAGTTCTATTGTTTCCTATGTTTATTAAACGTAACTTGCCACCCAACATTCTGTATACTTCAACTTTACGCGGAATTTAACTTAAAATTTGAAAAATTTTCCTGTATTATTTAGGAGTGTAAAATTTTCACTTGATTTGCCTCCTACAGAGGATTTTAAGGTAACCAAGCTGCTACAAGTCAGATCTTTTGCACAGTTTTACAGAAACATAGCATATTAATTTGACTCAAAGGCCTAGAGGAGTGAGGATTGACATAAATGTTTTCATTGTTTTTCTTTTAGAATTAAGAATAAAATAGGTAAGTCAAAGTTCCTGCAATATAGTCATGCCTGAGGGAACAAAAATACATTGAAGATATTTGGAAAAAGGAGTTTTAACCATATATCAATTGAAGAATGTAATAGCAAACAAACTAACAGAAGAAAAATAAAAATTACTTGATGGTGACTTTTGCATAAGAAAAGCTGAATAGCAGTAATGATTATTAACTCATCAGATTATTATTTAAATAACTATACTGCATACAAGGAAATTTTACAAGTTTAAAGTGATCAGTGGTTATGGCCAGTGAAAAAATCAGTGCTAGTGAGATGATCTGAATGTTCTACCTGTATTTCCATCAGGAAAACATAGCTAAACTTCAGCTGAACTTCTCTGTTAACTATACAGGATTTATATTTAAATGAGATTGCTGAAATCTGATGGAGACACAAATAGAAACTAGGGTCACAGTTCTTCTAGACATGTACTTGAGTTGCTCTGCTTATTAGAATAATTTCATTAGCTTTAGATGTACTGTTTGTGTGTATGGGAAATACCAACATTATGAAAAGATTTACGTAACTGGACCCTAAATTTTTTTTGTGCTTGATAAGTCTCTTCTGTAGAAGGTAATGATAGACACGTGCAACTGTCTGTAGGCTTCTGAACAACTCCATAGTGTCTAATATAGACTCTAAATGTTATGTGTATGTTGTTATGCATGATTATTAATAATGCATTCTGGAATTATGTTAGATTTATATGTGGAAATTATTGCATTGAGTTCTGTATGCTAGCACAGAGATTTAATAAGGTGCAGTAGGATGAAAGGAGAATGAAATGTGAGGGTTGTTACTTTACAAAATTCTGTGTGATACTGATTTAACCATTTTAGAAAAAAATCTAGATTACAACCTTGTCACAAATCTCTCAATCTTACCTTAGGTAAAATGAGTTCGTTTGAATATGGACTGTGTTAACAGGTTTTTTGTTTTTTTAAATAATTTCTGCTTGTGTGTGTAAGTATGTGTGGCCTACTTCTGAACATGCTGAACTGCTCCTGGAATGGAAAGTTTTATCTGAAAATGAAGGGAGGAAAAAAAGTTGATGAAAACATTTTTATTGGATTTATGATGTTTAATTACTATGTTATTTTAAAAAAATGCAACCCCTGAGTACAGTAAACAGATTTTGCTGAGATCAAAACCAAATAACCTGTCATAGATTACTTCTGTTTGTATTTTAATCTACGGAAACGTTGTGACGTTTTACAGTATAATGTTTGGAAGCAGGCAGCATAATTATTGACTGAAAAATAATTCATTGGTTTTGCAAAGTAATGAATTACGCTGCTTGTTATATTCTGTAGCTAGATCAAATATATAGTACCTTTTTAATATGTTGTACTTTTTACTTTCTGTAGGCAGTGCTCAATTTTTCTAAATACTGTGAACCAGTGGTTAGAGGAGAAGGTAAGCTTCTGTTTTTAATTTGAGCAGGTGTATGAGAGTGCAGGTGCCCTCCTGTGGGTTTTGTGGAGGACTTTGCTTTGATCCTCATTGTGTTGTGACCATTTCTCTGGTCACAACAGCACTGCTTATACCCGTTGCTCCCAGTAGGCAGCATTTGCAGCAGAAGCAGTAGATGACATTTGTGGTGGTGTTTTATGGAAATGAGATGGAAATACTGTGAAAACTTGCTTTCCCCTATAAATCGTTCTCCTCATTCAACCACCAGGACTTCTGCAAAGTAGTGAGATAAGTCATTTCTTTGTCAACGCTAAGAGGAGAAAATGAGAGTAGAGGTTCTGCCAAACTGTCCCAGAGTATCTCAGAATAAACCACAGAGAAACAGCCTTGCGTGGTAGCGTGTGCTTGCAAATGGATGATGGTGATGCATGATCCTAATACAGCATTTCAGAGTCAGGGTGTTAGACTTATTATGTCATGCCTGTGACTGTTCAGGTGTCAGAGATAAGAGTTCTACTATTGTGTGAGTTAAATGTTTAACAGAGTTGATTCTGGCTTGGTGCAGCAAATGAACGTGACACCCGCAAACTCTGGAAGAATATTGAACCTCATTTGAAGAAGGCAATGCAGACTGTTTATCTCCGGGAAATATCCAGGTAATTTGGGGGGCAAGGGCTTGTTTGTTTTGTTGATGTTGCTGTTTTTAACAAGCTTCCTCTTTAAATATTTACTCTCTCAATTACGTTTTATGACTAGTGTTTCTTTTTTGCTAGATAGAATCTTTTTTCTAGAATCTTTCTTTCTAGGAAGAAAGTTTCTTTCTTGCCATATAATGTTAGAAATAGGGTATCTCAGGAGGAAATTTTTGAACAAAATGGTATTTGTAGCGTATTGGTATTAAATGGTATTTAAGTAAAGCAGTGGCAGCAGTTTGCGTTCTCTTTTTCACTGATGCTCATGCAGATAGATACATTTTCTGTCATGTATGAAACTGCCACGCATGGAAATCTATCACCAGAATACAGGCACAGTTTAAAATACACTTGCAAAGTTGACTTGGCAGATCCTCACTGTACCAAGGATGCATGCAAGCCTCAAAATTCTTATGAGATGTTACAGAATTTGAACATCTGCATTCCTTAGCTTTGTTTAGTAGAGCTAGGTTTGTTCATTTACTGTGCTTTCTGACCCCTTATTTTCTTGTCCAAGGGCAAAATTTTCCTTATATGGAATTACCATTTTTGACAGCATTAAGAGCTGGTGTCCTGCTAACGGGCTGAGTTTCTCTTTGTATGGTTTTAGATTCCTTGTTTATTTCTTAAGTTGCCAGACTGCTAGAAAAAAGATGGTGGTGTTCATTTTTAATGGTAATAATCAGCTCAGATTTAATGTCTTCTCCATCTTTACGATGAGTGATTCTGATGTTACGCCATGTAAAGAGAGATAATTCAGTAGTGTTTGATTTCTTTGTCCTGATACAAATATAATGATTTCTTTACTTTGAATGTTGCTGAGGCCATAGAGTATTCTGGTAACTGAACCTGGGTGTGTAGATCTGCTAAATGTTTTGGAAAAGTGATCGTTCCTTCAAAAAGAGAATTAATTTTACTCCATATGAGCTAGACTTCACCGTACAGTGAGGCATTATTCTATTTGCCTCAAATATGTATTTATAGTCAATATTGATCTTCATTACACAGTCTACTCAGGATCTTCCTTTTTATATTGTGTAATTGCCTACTCTAATTAGGGTGTGATATAAGATTATGATATAAAATCGCTTATGAATTGTTTCCAAATAACTAGATTTCCCTCTTTACCATTTTCTTGGATTATAAATTTGAACTTTACTGGGTTTTTTTATTATAAATTTCAGCTTTCTGCATAATAGTTCTAGGGTTTACCTCTGTGTAACAGTAAATGCTTGAGGAATTAAAATGACCGTATCAGTTTTTTCTGGCCACAGAGCTGTAATTACTCTGGGCTTTTCTTCAGGTTGTAAGTTATAGGAATAGAATGCTATCGGCTGTTGTGCCACCTGAACTGAGATGAAAATGAAACTTTTTTTTTCCTACCTGTAAAATAGACATTGGATAAAAACTTTGCTCATTGATAATTTGGTTGATCATTCATTATAACTTGAGTATTACATCAGCTCTCATTAAAGTGTTTTCGTAAGTTTTATGGCTTACGGCTGATAAACCCTGTTCATAAAGCACCAGTGCTTGTTTTGTTTTTTAAAGATCTTTAACAAACCTGGTTTTTTATCCACTTGTGGTATACAAAATGATCTAAACCCATGACATTTCTAACAACGTCATTCCTTCAGGGAAATTATTTGCTATTGTGTAGGAAAACACCAAACTACTTGCTGACATTTTTCACTGGCAAAATGTTCCATCTTGATGTCTTCAGAGTTTTTCAGTGAAGAGTGAATATTGCTGTGTTTTTTATGTAGACTTCAAAATTACATTATGAAGAAATAATTATAGTATTGTTCTCACTAGCATAAAGTGTTATTAAGCAGATTAAAAAAAAATCAAAGCTATCAGTGTTTTTACTTTTTATCCAATTCTGCATTGTTCTTGAAATTTAGAATGCTATTGATATTTGCTTATTGGTGGTAGTTGGATGGAAAGAAATTGGTATTTTACAATTAGCTTGTACTCACTTTTACACCTTAATATGATGTTACTTTCTGCATTTTTTTAAATATGCATAGTCTGCACATTATTGAAACTTATGTGCAAGGTAGTAAGACGTGGTATTTTTAATTATTCTCTTACTAACTGTATCCTAGCCGGTGTCATGAAATTATGCATATACCAAGCAAGTAGTTTTCTCTAAAAGAGTAATAAATACTTCGTCTTTATATATTTGCATTATCTGTCTTTTAGCTCACAGTGGGAGCGCTTACAGCATGACGATGGAGAACCTGGGCAGTTGAAAGGTATCGGATACAGTAACTCTGTAGGGGCTTGTAATGTGAAATGTGTACTTTTCAGTTTGACTTGGTTGTTATCTGAGAACATGTGAATGAAATTATATAGACGAGGCTACCTATTAACATTCAGTTACAGTTAAGGATAATCATGTTTTTTTGAGAAGGTGTTCTACAAAGGATTGTTACTATTTTTTCCCCTAGCATATATCCTGGGAGTAATCTTTCCTAAGGTCCTTTATGGGTAAAAGCAGATTTCTTTAGGTCAGTATTTCTTATGTAAGAATGGATGAGGAATGGGCTGACCCCTGATGGTCAAACCTCTGTGTGCCAGCTGGCAGAATTGTCGGAGTGGGGAGAAGGGAATATTATACCTGGTGTATTACACTGGATTAGCACATTTCTAAACAAAACAACTGTCCCGTGTCCTGATTTGTTGGCAAAGAGAAATGTCAGAATTGCAAGAATTCTTTCTGTTCTTTTGTTGGAGGCTTACAGCTGTGTTGATTTTATACTTTAGACAGGCTTGAAAGTCAAATCTCAATATATCTGTCAGCCTTCATTTAGAATTTAGGAAGGAATACGAAAACATTTTCTTGGTGCTGTCAGCTGGTCGTGGTCTTTTGACCAGTTCGTAGTTTGGGAACGCTTTCTCCATATTATTTATCATGACAAATAATTTCTTCTTTAGATAGTAGTTAAAATAGCCACCTATTTAAACAATGTCTTAAGATAATTGCGGTCATCAGACCGTTTCCTATATGTGCTTTATGATCAGTAATTTTTTGACATTGTTGACTGTTGTGGTTTAACTCCAGCCGGCAACTAAGCCCCATGCAGCCGCTCGCTCACTCCCCCCACAGTGGGATGGGGGAGAGAATCAGAAGAGTAAAAGTGAGAAAACTCGTGGGTTGAGATAAAGACAGTTTACTAGGTAAAGCAAAAGCTGCGCGCGCAAGCAAAGCAAAGTAAGGAATTCATTCAACGCTTCCCATCAGCAGGCAGGTGTTCAGCCATCTCCAGGAAAGCGCAGGGCTCCATCACATGTAATGGTTACTTGGGAGGACAAACGCCATCACTCCAAACGTCCCCCCCTTCCTTCTTCTTCCCCCAGCTTTATACGCTGAGCATGACGTCATATGGTATGGAATATCCCTTTGGCCAGTTGGGGTCAGCTGTCCTGGCTGTGTCCCCTCCCAACTTCTTGTGCAGCCCCAGCCTACTCGCTGGTGGGGTGGTGTGCGAGGCAGAAAAGGCCTTGACTCTGTGTAAGCACTGCTCAGCAATAGCAAAAACATCTCTGTATTATCAACACTGTTTTCAGCACAAATCCAAAACATAGCCCCGTACTAGCTACTATGAAGAAAACTATCTATCTAGTTTGGGAACACTTTTTCCATATGATTTATCATAACAAATAATTTCTTCTTTAGATAGTAGGTAAAATAGCCACTTACTTAAAAGTTGTCTTAAGATAATTGCAGTCATCGGACTGTTTCCTTTATTTGCTTTATGATCAGTAGTTTTCCGACATTGTTGACCAAAGCAGTTTGATTCAAAGTGCTCTTAATAAACTCCCTCCTTCCATGCCCAGATGATCATGAAATACTTTTGCACCTGACAACCCCAAAAAGGGAGACTTTATTTAAAACGCATTTTCTAGGATTTTTAGGTATATGTAGTAGGAAAAATTGTCTTGTTGGTAAACAGCATGTGATAATCATAAGCTTAAAAAGCAATTATAAATTTTGCTGGATGGATGTAAATAAGCAAATAGTTCAGTGCATGGTGCAATATTGGCAGGACAGAATAATAGAGTAGAAACAGATATTTCTGTATTAAACTAAATTGTCTATATGTAAGAGTTTACTTGGTGTTGCATTTTTTAATTAACATGCAATTCAAAACAGTCTCTTGATTGTAAATGAAACTAAAACTGCTGTCCTTTTGTGCCTACATGAGAAGAAATTATTACTAGCTATCATCTAGGATGCTTCTCATCACACTGGGGTCTCTGAATTTTAACTTTTAAACATGTTTAATTCCTTGATCTTTATTTGCTGATATTTATGGATTAAAGCATAAGGGTACAGGTACTTTGCAGAATAAGAAACTGTTAAAGTGAAAACCTGTAAGCAAAGAAGGCACAAGAGAGACCCTTTAGTGGTCTCCATAGTTAGACAATTGATGAAGTAAGGCGGTTTGATCATCCTATTCATACGCATAAGCTGTGTAAAAGAAGCAACTATGGTGACAAGAGCAGGGGAATGTAAAGGGAAAAAATACAAAGTAAAAGTAAAAAGAGGGAAAGAAAATACTCACTAGACTGTAGTTCTCGTGTGTTTTAATGTGTGAGACTTTAAGCTTAATAAAGTATACATGTAGCAGGCTAGGTCAACTGGATCAAGTTTAAAATTTTGAAAACATTTTCTGTAGGAAATAAAACACTGGCTAAAAATTGAGAGATGCTGAACTGTTTCTCAGAAGTGCAGCACTGCTTCTTTCTCCACCATGCCAGCCCCGTTCCTGGCTGAGCTGTCTGGCACAGCGTGGAGCAGCCTGAAGGTTGGGTCTTGGAGAAAATCTTTGCCATCTTCATCTGCCCTGTTTGCCAGGAAAATTACCTTAAATGAAAGTTGCCTGGATTTTTTTAAGGGAGCTCACACCTTAATGATTTATGAATCTCTGATGCTTCTAAAACAGTTTCTGAGATGAGTCCCTAAAGAGTTCAGAATGTTAGTTTTGTTTATCTTTGTGCCATTCCTTGGCCCTTCACTGATTTTATATCGGTGATAATGGGGTTGAGAAAGTAGCCATACTAATTTTGTTACAGGAGTAGAGCAGGAGAGAAGGAAAAGAAGAAGAATGCAAACAAGTCTAACTTGAAGTTTGTGGATGTTCAGAGTGGGTTTCGGTGACTCATAAACTGTTTGTTTATTTTATAGGACTTTCTGCACATACACATATGGAACTTCCTTATTACTCCAAATTTCTTCTAATAGCTGCTTACCTTGCCTCCTACAATCCTGTTAGGACAGATAAGAGGTTCTTTCTTAAGGTAATGAGATTTTTTTCTTAGTGCTGCTTACTGGATTCCTGCATACTGAATTTCCTAGTTTAAAACTCTTCAACCATTCATTTTGAGCTCTGTTTCTGTGTGTGGTTCATTTGATTTGGTCAGAAGTTTTTCTGTAGATCACATTGTGATTGGTAAGGATCACTTAGTTGTTATTAATATTTCATAAACCCAACTTCTTCTTCATGTCAAAACATGCATAAGACTGTTACAGCACAAGTATTGTGCTTTGCTTTTGTAAGTTGATATAGCTCCATTTTGTAAAGATTCTGGTATAAGCCACACTTAAATTTCCGGAGTGAGACACAAACCACAACTCCGTTAGCCTTTAATGAGGTAAAATGACATAGTGCATTGTTAACTTATTTATACAATTTTAAACTTCTGAAACAGAAACATACAAACAGTTGCTTTTGCAGAAGATGTGGGTTCCATTAGCTGGCACATGTTGTGTTGAAATGATGGTAATGCATGTTTTAGGATGAATGTATTAATCCTCACTACCAAATCATGGGCTAAACCCCATTTTCTGTAAGTTCTTGCTATGTACAGGTTGAATTTTTTTTTTCTTCTTTGGGCTATATTGTGGTCGTGCTGCAAACAAATGCTGTGGTGCCATAGTGTGTAGTTTGCCTCTTACCCAAGATCTTCGTGCTACTCAAGCCTGCCTCATTGGGTTGTTTTTGAGGTTTTAATTTGACAAAATGTAGGCAGGAAGACAGGTAACAGAAAAGTGATTGGGCAATTATGTTTTCTATGCATTTTACAAACTTCAAGGTTTTCTACATTACTACAGTATGTATTAATATATGCATGTGTGTATAAATGTATGGTATTCATGATAGATAGGTGTGAACAATTGAAGAAAATGAGAACAAGAGAAATTTGAAAAATACGCTTGTTTTCTTCTCCCCTCTTGGAAAAAAAAATTGCAAATACATGTTTGTTTTGAGAAGTTACTGCAGTTCCTAGTGATGATATACTAATACGTTTTTAGTTTAAATATGGGTTTCGTGTTTCTGGTATGATCTTACATTGAAAGTTGTATGTGTTTCACCCTTCTGTCTAGTCCTTTTCTGAGAAGAGTGGAGGATTACTTGTAGTAAGTGCAGATTCACCATTAAGTTTTCTTTATGGGCAACCTTTGTTCTTTTCGCTTGGTCAAAGCGATTTCTTTGTAAGATATTTATTTGCTGACAAAGTGTTTTTGCCCAGATTTTTCCATATCAGTCTTGGAACTCAGAGAAACAGGAAAGCTTACAAGAGTCAAGTCAGTAAAGTATGTTATCAAAAAAGTGCCACATCTTTCTTGTTTGTGTTTGCAGAACAACCTTCTCAATTTAATATTTTCCTTTCTCCTTTTTCAGTACCTCTGAAGTTAGTTTCCACTCTTGCACATGAACCCTACTAAACTTTTGTACAAACATGAGCTTCTAAGGTTTTTGAAGCAGGGACTGTGAAGGTATTTCAATCAGTGATATTAAGTATTTTTCTCAAGAACTGGTGAAACAGGAGAAGTTGCCATTCTTGCTACGCGTTATCATCTGATAGCAGTTAGCCATTCATCAGGTGCTAAGGCGAATTTCAGAAATAGCTGCATCTCAAAGCCCAACGAAACCAACACTTTTGAAGGGATGTTCAAGTTGAGTGTTTTTGAGTCATGTGGACTGTGAAAATAGAATATGGTTTTATCAGGTTTGTAATGAGATTCAGAGTAGATTACAGAAAAGTATCTTCTGGAGTGATTTAACTAAGGACTGCTAGACAGCAAACAAAAAGATGGTCATTGAGCTGCTAATCTGCACTACTGGTATAGGTGATAGGCAAAAGATAAAGTCACAGTTTGTGGCAGCCTGGAATGCTAACAGCCTGATAAAGCAATGAAGTAGTAATTGGCAGCGCTGCTTCTAGTTAGGTGAAAATTCAAGAGCTTTGCAGTAGATTGAGAGGAAAATACGAAGTTGGTTTTGGAAGGTAGTCTTTAAACCAAAAAAGAATAGCAATCTATATGAAGTCTTCATTTCATCGTTTTAATAGAAAACAGGATTAAAAACTAACTGAAAATTAACTCTGAATTTCATGCTGCTTTGTGCTTGCACAGAAATAGGGCACCTGCTCACTTGCTTTGAAACACTCCTGATATAACTTAAATAATCATATGGAGATTCCAGCATAACCTTTAAAATGCATGAATGCAGTTTGTTGTGATCCATCGCTAGCATGCTGTGTAACCTCAGGCTTGATCACTTTCCCCTCCAAAAGGTCTCTGTTGTCACCGCAGTCGTCTTTTCAAAGGCATGATAAAAAGATTACTTTGCTTTCTCTAAGTATGTGTGATATGTATTAATTGAATGAACTGATTTTTTTTTTTAGTCTGCAAATTATGTAAAAGAAACTTAAAGCCCTGTCTAATATTAAGCTCTTCAGAAGTAAGTCAAGAAGAGCCACAGTTACTGAGATCGTCTTGACATGGTTGAGTATTGAGGTCCACAAATACGAAGTACAAGATTTCAAACATTATAATGAAAAAAAATTCCTTCATTTGAGATATTTTTCCCTGATTCATTGAGCATGCTTATAAGGTATACTTATTAATAAGGTATACTTCTCAAGGCTGTGGAAAAACTCAGGTGATATTCTGAGTAATAGCACTTAGCTATGTTTAAAGAATATTATACTTGTACCTCTCCACTAAATTTACATCATTTACACGTCATCCTTCATGTCTCTCTTTGTCTTTTTTTTTTTTTTAACCTATTCATTTGTAATGTCGTTTACTATATTTCTGTCCTTGTCTTGGCCTCGCATTTTTCAGTTGATATCCAAGAACACTTGATTTTCTTTGGGCAGTCCTTCCTTTCTTAAGGCTGCTTTAAAGCTGTGTCTTCTTAAATGATGTTCCTTCCCCTGCCCCCGCCCCCCCTTCTGTTTGTTGTTTAGCTCCTGCACCTTGAACTATCTTTGTATTGTATTGATTTAATTCCTGGATGTCATTCTGCCAACTTGTGTACCATCCAAATTCTAAAACAGAGCCGAAAAAAGGTGAAAATTCAGATGGATTTTATGAATGGATACATTTTAAGAATGAAGTGGCCATTGTTTAAAGTTTTCTGGAAAAAGAAAGAAATGAAACATCTGTCTTTTTCATTAGATGATTGAAAGTAGGAGGAAGATGGTGGCATGAAGTCATATTAAAACCACGTTTTTAGAGCCTCTTCTCATCAGTCCCTGATTAGATCAGAAAAAAAAAAAACTTACGCGTGTCACCAAAAAATATTAGTGTGTTGTTTTTTGGCTTTGCACCACTTGGGACACAATGAAGCAAGAGGTAAGGCAAGTGTAATTTTAGGGCTTCTAGTAAGAAGGATTCCTAGTAACATCAGAGACAAATACTGGAGGTGTAGTAAAGGAGGAGACCCAGACTAGCATATTACCATATGTAGCGTACAATTCTTTGACTGTTTTGATTCTGTCTTTGTTATAGAAGGAGCATAAAATAATTTACATATAATATTTGCTCTTGTCTGTTGTTTACAGCATCATGGGAAAATTAGAAAGACCAACTTTATGAAGAAACATGAAAAGGTATGTATTTCATCTTTCTAATCTGAGCTTGGCAACAAATATTTTCTTTCTACTGTACTGCTGGTTTTGTATTTTGTTTTGCCTCATTGTTTACTGTAGAAACAACAGAATTGCATAAATAACAATTATTGGTGCATTTGTTTTGTATGATACAAATTTCTGTATGATACACATATTTTTATTTCATTGAAATTTAACTGTAGCATAAATTTGTCTCCTAAAGCCATATTTTTGTGTATAACAAAAATGTGCTTAATAAAGCTAGTTAAAGGACATCATACATGGAAGAGCCAGATATCCGAATTTCTCTGAGATGTTAGAGTAATAGGTGGTTAGTAGTTTTGAAAGTCAAGTCACTTTAATTCCCAGTGATGCAGTGAGGTATAAGAGCTTAAGTTTGTGTGTTGAGGCTTGGAAACTTTGCACTCTCTTCTGTTGTTTAGGATTCCATCAGACTATTAACTAACCTTTTCATTGTTTTAAATAGCTAAATATCATTGATTTCAGTGGAGCTATACCAGTTTTTACTGACAGAGACTTGATATGCTAGGAAAAGCAAATACCTATACGTATATTTGTAACTGTAATGTAAAAAGAGAAATCAAATTTTAACATTTGTAACTTGTTGACTTATTTTTAAACAAATCCATAAATGAAGAGCAGTGCAGACAGCACTAAATCCCTGCCAAAACAATCATTATATCCTTTTCTTCTCTATGCTACAGGCAGGGTAAATAATATGAGAAAAATTTTAGTATGATACTTAGCCTAATAATCCTTTGCTTCTGATCCTGCCCATAGCCTTTTCCCTAATTTTTCCTCTGCCCCTGTAGGAGGACAGAGTCCCTGGCTATCCAAAGACTTTTTTCCAAGTTCTCTTATTTCTGTAGGGGCACGGTTTTTGCATGTGAAAGTGTAAGTGAGCATAGTTTTACTTCAATGGTGCAATGTGTTGCAGTGCTAGGTAGATATTTATGTAAATTTAAGAATTCTGAAGTCTCTGAATGCATGTGTCCTGTACACATAGACCTTGTGTGTTTTGTCGCTGGCACGTGAACTCCTGAGAACTTCCGGAGCATTTAATTATTTTCAGGACTGCTATATTCTTGAAACACCTCCATGTCTTAATTAGTTGATAAATAATTTTCAGGAGAAGGAATAATTATTGTATCTTAGACCAAAATGTTCTTCTTTCCTTGCATCCTCTGTGGGAAAGGTGTTTTGTTTTGTTTTATTCTTTCTTGGCAATAGATTTCCAACTTGGATGATGAGATGGGAACAAGTAGGGAGATGGGAACAGCTAGGAACATAACAGAAATGGGAAAATAGAGATTTGATGAAGAAATACCGAGGTTGTGATCACCTCAACTGTACTGTAGAGCTTGTTCTCTTGTGTCATTGTTTATGTTAAATGGACTTGTGTCTGAGTTCACTACTTAGAGTTCAGAAGTGCCTGCATTAACAATAAATTGGTTTTCATTTTATTATTGTTCCTGCAGCAAGCTAAATGCTACTGAGTAGGTACAAAACCAGAACAGAACGAGGTACTAAGGAAAGGACTGTAAAGGTTCTCTAACTCAAACAAATGTAAACAAATGTAATGTAAACAAAATTAATGGTCAAAAAGATGAGTAAGATTTCAGTTACTTTTTTTACTTTAATTAGATTAATTCTAATTTTGTAGACTTTACATTTACCCTACAACCTAAACATTGAACTGATATTCTGAAAGCATGATTAGACACGTGTGCAGTTAAACAAGCTTGGTTTGTTGTCCAACTGTAGCAAGTAACTTGCATAATCAGGAAAGACTTCTAAGGCTGCAAATGATCTAATTCTTATACCTCTTTGTTGTATTAAAAATTAGTGTTACTTTGAAGAGAATTAGAACTTCATAATCCTAGTAAATCAAATATAGTTAACAGAAAATCTCTCTTGAGTTGACAGTGTTACATTAAACTCTGATTGCATGCAAGAAACAGGAGTGTGTCTTAGGGATTAACAAATAGGATGGAAACTTTGTGGCATTTCAAGAGTACCTTTGCTTCTAGTTACAGAGCACTGGTTCTCTGCTTATGTGTCGCTTTATAGTTTACAGGTAAGGACCGTTTCACTGTAAGTATTGATACCAGAAGCTGAAACTGCTTGTACGTCAGAGCACAGTCTGGTTTTGAAAGTTTTTGAGGCATGGTAGCTGTGATAGTGGGGAACAGGACTGCAAGTCCGAAGAGGATCTTCCAGACCTATGTTCCTTTTACTATGCTCTAACCTTTATAAATATTTGCACAGAGATACAATCACCCAGATGTAAACTTGTATATTTTTGTACTGTGATTCTATAGTGAGGGAAACTGAAATACAGGGATAAAGGATTACATATGTAGTGTTATAAATAAAGGCTCATTTGCTTCAGTTGGTGTGACAGCTTATATCAATATACCTTCCCACAGAGAAACTTGTTTAAAGACTGATTTACAGATCAGGTTCACCTAACTCCAAGTGGGTGCCTGCATCTAAGCTAGTGTCTTTTTATAGACAGTGCAGAGCTAGTCGATGCAGTCATTGGAGTGTAGGGTGTGATTCGTCTCATACTGAAGTAGGTTCTACATTCAGTCAGATGAATTGCACCATAAACTGTATTGATTAGATTTCTACTGGCTATAATGGGAACTTAGGAAACTAGTTTGGCTGTACATACCTACTTGGCAGGAAGCTAACATTAGATGAAATAAATCCTGCCTTGAAAGTTTAGGTACACCCAGGCTAAAAATCTGTTTCTTGGTTCTTAACTCTGTTCACTCCAGAGGCCGTAGTTTTAGTATTAGAAAAAGTAAATCTTGTGAATGAGGGGAAAGAATTTACTTTATTATTCTATTAATTGCCTTGTTGCTGATAACAGCAGAATTTGTTGGGTTTCTTTGCATGGTTGCCCTGGAACAATGTTTTTCCAGTTTAGTGACAAGTGAGAGATCTTCCTGGTGAAGCTACTTTTGCAGGAATATGCTTTTTCAGATGTCAGTCCATCAGAAGATCAAATGTGTTGGTGTGTTTTTTATTGGAAAATAATTTTTCCAGTATATCTGCTTCAATTTCAGTCTAGGATTTGTTTTGAATCAGAATTTCTAGCTTACAGCTGAAGATGCTTCATTTGTATAGCAACCAGGGAAATTCAGAAATGCTTTCTGCTAAAAAAAGTGAGAAGTGTAGTTCTGTCTTTAAGTATATGCTAAAAAGGTTGAATATTCAGCCAACTGAGGTTAAGGACTTCCTCCCTTCTGTGCAGGTAGTTTAGTTTGGGTTAAGCTTTTACTCTTTAAAGAACGCTTTTGGTTCTCATTCTTGTTCGTGAAATTTTGGAATGTGAAGACATGGCTCGCGGTTGTGGGACGGTGAAAGACTTAGGCCAGTTAAACAGGGGGAGCATGAAGCTCTGACACTGTAGATAAAAAGCACAAGCACAGATAGTGGCAACGGGGGAAAAGTCTTTTTTTGGACCATTTGATGAGTGTATTGCCAAGGTGGAAAGATGATAGAGGACACAAGAGTTAATCTGATGGCTATAAAACTTCTTGAAGAGGTTTTCTGAATGTGGAAGGTATCTTTGTTTGTTTTTAAGTGAGATTGAGGGGTCCCTTGGATTTTTATAAATATATTCTATGTAGTATTCTGCCTTAGCTCCTTGCAGAAGATTTGTAAAAATCTTATTCTTTACTAAGTTCTGTTTGGAGGAATTTCTAAACCATTCCTATCCATCCAGGAATTTATTTCTGTCAAAGAAATAAAAATGAAGTGCTTCTTCTAGAAGTTAGACTCTATTAGAATAATATCCTTCACAGAACTGCCATGTTTAGAAGTAGAAGGGCAGGGGATTGTACAGTTCATAACTTATACCATACTTGCATTCTGACTGAGGGTGCTGTGCTAAAGTTTTGACTACGTTTCCATTATTTTTTACACTGCTTTCTTTGCTAGCCAAGAGGTAGCTTTGGGGACACCTCCTGGATTTGAAAAGCTAAAACACGTATTGGAAATATCTTTGTTTTGCAGAAGAAGTGAGTGGTTGTGTTTCACTGATGACTAACGCCACAGAGGTGGTGGTGGTATATTTGAGAGGTGTTCTTTCCCAGAAGCATTTTGAAACAAACTTTCTTTTGAAACTCCTCTTTAATCTTGGCTGCTCTGCTAGTAAGAATAAATCAGTGTGCACTACAAAAAAGGAAACTGGATGTCAAAGTAGAGAGGATAAAATACAAACTTAAAAGGAAACAAATATTTCCTTTGTCAGAACTTTTGACAGTCTGGGTCATAAATAAATCCCTGTAGACCTAACAATGCCTGAGTTGTAATACAGTTCTGCCCTATGAACTGTACTTCTCCTTTTTGTGAAATTGGTTATTTTAAAATTATTTAACATTGAAAAAATCAGGAACTCATATTTCTGTGAATTCAATTGAATTCAATGTTACTACATACAATAACCTGTAATGCCTAAAATGTCCATCAGTATCAGCTGAGGTGTGAAGATGATGTGTATAGTGCAAAAAAGGATAAGGGACAGAATAGCTCTGTAAATGCAGAGCTGAGTAAATATGCTGTCTTCTGATAACACAGTTTGTCTGTAGCTGGCAGGTAGCTCTCTATACAGCAGCTCTTACCAGCAAAGGAGCTGACCTTTGGCTCAGCCGGCTGAACTCTTTATTTTAGCCAGCTGAACTCATGGGAGGCGGATGCACTCTGGGCCCTCACACTCAGCACTCTTTGGGCTGCATCTTGAACACTCCATCCAGTTTTGCCCCTCTCCAGTACAAGACACATCAATAAACCGGAACAAGTTCAGCAGAGAGGTATCAAAATAGTTAGAGGGTTGAGCACTTGCCCTGCAAGGAGAGGCTGAGGGAACTGCAGTTGTTCAAGCTGGAGAAGGGAGGCCTAAAAGCAGCCTGTCCTGTACCTGCAAGGAGATCATCAAGACTATACGATACAATGGTGGATGGTGAGAGAGTGAGAAACAATGAGTGTAAGCTGAAACTAGATATTTATACTGGATATAAGGAAAACCTTTTTCCTTATGAGGACAGCCAGGCAGTGACACTGGTTTCCCAGAGAGGTGGTGCAGTCTCTGTCCTTGGAGGTTTCCAAGACTGGACTGGTAAATTCCTGAGCAACCTGGCCTGACCTCCTAGCTGACCCTGCTCTGAGCAGGAGGGGTTTGACTAGAGACCTCCTAAAGTCCCTTCCAGACAGAATTATCCTATGATCGAGTGTATTTTAAGAAAGGAGAAATATAGTAGTAAAGGAGTTTCCTGTGTAAAACAGTAAGTTGTAGTGTTCTCATTTCTAATTTCCTGATCAAAAATGTTTTCTTTGGTTTTGGTATCAAAATGGTAACGTTTTTGTTGTGGTATAAAGGAAGCAAAAGAGAAAATGAAAACTAAAAAGTTAAAATCAGCCAAAAATATAAAAAACTCAGCAATTTTGTTGGAAAAAAATAAGCAGTTAATACGTCTTATTCCTGCAGAGATAGTTGACCAAATTTTTTTAAAAAATTGGTTTTAGAAAGTGAAATTCACAGAAGAGCTGAGATGGACAAGGACCTCTGGTCTAGTCCAACCCCCCTACTCAAGCAGGGTCACCTAGAGCCGGTTACTCAGGAACATACCCAGTTGGGTTTTGAGTATCTCCAAGGATGGAGACTCCACAGCCTGCCTTGGCAATAAGTTGTAGCGTTTAACCACCCTCAAGGGTAAAAAAGGTTTTTTTTTTCCTATGTTAAGTAAAATTTCCTGTATTACAATTGGTGCCCATTGCCAAGTTATTCTACTTATGTTCTAGACCATAAGGCTGTTTATTAAAGTAGTTTAATATGGCATTTAAGATGAGGAACTCTTGTTATGACTTTGCACCTCTGTGAGAGGAAGAGAAAAGGCTTTGGCTAAAACGATTCAAAGACAGTGGATACATTGATACTTTAGCAGAATCTTCCTTTTGTATACTTTTTCAAAATGCAAATGCTAGTAAAATATTAGTCTTCAGTAAGCAAAACACACAAAAATATACTTAAAAGTTCCTTGATGGTTTTATAGATTTGTAAAAACTATTGTTCTGTTATGTGCAGTTCGTTGTAGGTGATCGTAGATTATAGACTGACTGTAGACATAGAATAAATCTGAACTTTTAAATTTTTTCACTAGCTAGAAATTCTGTGTGCTTTTAAGAAGCCTAACTTGTCTTACTGTTGACAAACTGTGAAGAAAACTATGTGCACCTTGAGAATGCCATAAAATGTAGTCTTTCCTCTTTAATCCTTAGATTGGGTAAGGTAATTTAATAGGACAAGTGTTGTAGTTTAACCCCAGCTGGCAACTAAGCCCCACCCAGCCGCTCGCTCACTGAGTGACTCTGTGTCAGCGCTGCTCAGCAATAGCGAAAACACCTCTGTATTATCAACACTGTTTTTCAGCACAAATCCAAAACATAGCCCCGTACTAGCTACTATGAAGAACGCTAACTCTATCCCAGCCAAAACCAGCACAACAAGTAAATCTGTAAATCTAGTGACAGGAAATTTGGCATCAGATCATCTGTTATAGCTCAAAAATGTTCCTATTTATTGTGCAGTTTGAACTCTTGCCATGTTAAATAGAGCTGTATGTCTATATCTTTATCTTGATCAATAAGCATGTGTTCAGGGTTTTCCATAATATGTAAGTAGGCTGTATGATAGACTACTGTGAATTATAGTGCCTCCCCAGAGCCTAAAAAGATGTGAGAATAAAATCTTGTGGCACTCCAGGAAAGACCTGTTGGATTGAAAAGTCTTGTTTCTGTTGCAGACCAGCAATCACCTCCTTGGGCCAAAGCCGTTTCCCCTGGACAGATTGTTAGCAATACTATATAGCATTGTGGACATCAGAGTTGCTCCAACTGCAAATATATTTTCCCAGGTGAGTGTGTACTTACTTTCTTTATTTCCTTTTTACTGTCTGCAATTTTTGAAAATTTCTGTAAGTCATCATTCTAATTAAATGTAATGAGAAAACAACCACAACAGTAGTTTTAAGTTGAAGGCTCAGAGTAATATTTATCTGTATTATTAGCTATGAATTCAAGACTTTATCTGTCTAATGGTCTGAAACCTTCTAATAGCTAACTTTTTCCTGATCCTGGACTGTGATTTGTGTTGATTAGTTCCTTGGCTTCTCGTTGAAGTCTGTTAGCCTGTTTGCATTTCGAGTTAAGTGTATAAATGCTCACTGTCCTATGGCCAAAATTAGTCACCTTGTAACGTATGTTACAAAAATGTAGTGGTGAAGAAGGAGCAGAGAGAAGAATAAGGTATTTGCAGGTGAAAGGTGTTCGCTGATAAATGTATCTTAGGGATAATGTTTTTCATTTGGACCAACTTTAACAGTCTTGCAGAGGAGAGTCAGTATCCCGTTTCACTAGATGGCAGTATAACTATAGAGTTGAGTGGAATAAAGTAAATCTACATTTTTCTCTAGAGCTCTGGGTTTGTCAAGTGTAAATACCTATTCTGTATAAGTAAAGATAGTTTTCTATTATCAACTTGATTCTTAGATCTTTCATGTCCACTTTAGGAGATCTCAATTTCTTTGCTGCTTTCCAGTTGCGCTAACTTTTACTTATAGAAATTTCTTCTACCTTTCATTGTTAGGTCTCAAATTTAACCAAGGATTATTTAAATCTGATGTCTGCGTTCATGTAAAGTTCTAGGAAACATATGCTCAAGATACCTAAACAATTTTGTTACTGCTTTAATCATCGCTGTTCAGTGTTCACACAAATGTTTAGCAAAATTCATCTCCCAACTTTGTAGAATAACCAACCATAAGTGTGTATATATATATTGTAAAATCAGGCAATAGAGAAGCTAGAGAATTGTAGTACTTTATTTAATCAGTGGTATGTGAATATCTTTAATAGTGGTGGGGACCCAGGTGCTTTACAGATGCAGTAGGCAACTTAACACCTTCACATAATGCTTTCTCTCAAGCTCCTTTAGTTAAAGGTTACTATATGATCTGAGGCATGAGAAATTATTAGACAACCACCTCAAAAAATCTGTTAATACAAGAATTTGCTGTTTTGTAATTAGATGAGTGATTTTTCAGCTTATAGTCTGTGCCCCTTGAGAGGTCAATGGATTAGCTTTCAGAGGTGTTCAGGAAGTAGCTGAAAAAATCAAGTTTAGACATGTTTACCCATCTTGCACTTGTTTCTTGCCTTTCTTCTGTCATCTCATGGCACCTCCGGAATTCACTGTGCTTTCAGAAGGAACCCTAGCTCTGTATTTCAAAGCTACATGAAGTTTCCTATGGGCAAATGCCATATGAAGGGACACCAAAGGTTGTTGAAGTAGGCCGTTTCTGACCAGACTTCGGATGATGGCTGCAGCCTTGTAGCTACTTACATCATCTTTGGAGTATAGAGAACACAGGGATCTTAGTGTTCATAAAAATCACAAAGTTGGCCAGCTGTATCTATTCACTTTTTTTCCTGGCTAGTGTCAGATGTAGCCTGAGAACTGCTTTTTTATGAATGTTGGTTGATTCTTTAATTCACTGTACTGTAAAGTCTGTATATCAAGTCTGTCAGTCAAGGTATTGGTCACACCCCTTTTCTTACATGGTGCTGTTTTTGTGTTTTGCTCTAGGTAGTGCATTTTTTTGATTTGAGACACAAAGTCTTGAAGCTGAAACTCAGAATACTGAGGCAAAAGGTGGTTGTCTTGTTTAATGATGTTAGTTTATCAACAATGATTGATTTAGGTTTAGTTCAGTAAGAAATGGAGTCTTACGAGACTATTATAGAAACTCAGAAGAAAATAAGGTACAATCTAATGTTTAGATCGGTTTCACTTGTGCTCTAAATCTACTGATGCTCCACCACGTGGGTGGTACTTGTTTTAAGCCGTTCTTTCTTTCTCTCTGCCTTTCTTCCTTCAAGCATTTGAAGAAACTCACTGTGATCTTTTAATAAAATGTCATTTT